TTCTCCACTGTACACTCCTGCCTCCTTTATCAAAGATAAAGTGACCATATGTGCGTGAGTTTATCTCTGGGCTTTCTGTCCTGTTCCATTGATCTATATTTCTGTTTTTGTGCCAGTACCATACTGTCTTGATTACTGTAGCATTGTAGTATAGTCTGAAGTCGGGGAGCCTGATTCCTCCAGCTCCGTTTTTTGTTCTCAAGATTGCTTTGGCTATTCGGGGTCTTTTGTGTTTCCATACAAATTGTGAAATTTTTGTTTCAGTTCTGTGAAAAATGCCAGTGGTAGTTTCATAGGGATTGCATTGAATCTGTAGATTGCTTTGGGTAGTAGAGTCATTTTCACAATGTTGTTTCTTCCAATCCAAGAACATGGTATATCTCTCCATCTATTTGTATCATCTTTAATTTCTTTCATCAGTGTCTTATAATTTTCTGCATACAGGTCTTTTGTCTCCTTAGGTAGGTTTATTCCTAGATATTTTATTCTTTTTGTTGCAGTGGTAAATGGGAGTGTTTTTTTGATTTCACTTTCAGATTTTTCATCATTAGTGTATAGGAATGCCAGAGATTTCTGTGCATTACTTTTGTATCCTGCTACTTTACCAAATTCATGGATTAGCTCTAGTAGTTTTCTGGTAGCATCTTCAGGATTCTCTATGTATAGTATCATGTCATCTGCAAACAGTGACAGCTTTACTTCTTCTTTTCCGATTTGGATTCCTTTTATTTCCTTTTCTTCTCTGAGTGCTACGGCTAAAACTTCCAAAACTATGTTGAATAAGAGTGGTGAGAGTGGGCAACCTTGTCTTGTTCCTGATCTTAGTGGAAATGCTTTCAGTTTTTCACCATTGAGGTTGATGTTGGCTGTGGGTTTGTCATATATGGCCTTTATTATGTTGAGGAAAGTTCCCTCTATGCCTACTTTCTGCAGGGTTTTTATCATAAATGGGTGTTGAATTTTGTCGAAAGCTTTTTCTGCATCTATTGAGATGATCATATGGTTTTTCTCCTTCAATTTGTTAATATGGTGTATCACATTGATTCATTTGCGTATATTGAAGAATCCTTGCATTCTTGGAAAAAACCACACTTGATCATGATGTATGATCCTTATAATGTGCTGTTGGATTCTGTTTGCTAGTATTTTGTTGAGGATTTTTGCATCTATGTTCATCAGTGATATTGGCCTGTAGTTTTCTTTCCTTGTGACATCCTTGTCTGGTTTTGGTATCAGGGTGATGGTGGCCTCGTAGAATGAGTTTGGGAGTGTTCCTCCCTCTGCTATATTTTGGAAGAGTTTGAGAAGGATAGGTGTTAGCTCTTCTCTAAATGTTTGATAGAATTTGCCTGTGAAACCATCTGGTCCTGGGCTTTTGTTTGTTGGAAGATTTTTAATCACAGTTTCAATTTCAGTGCTTGTGATTGGTCTGTTTGTCTTTTCTATTTCTTCCTGATTCAGTCTTGGCAGGTTGTGCATTTCTAAGAATTTGTCCATTTCTTCCAGGTTGTCCATTTTATTGGCATAGAGTTGCTTGTAGTAATCTCTCATGATCTTTTGTATTTCTGCAGTGTCAGTTGTTACTTCTCCTTTTTCATTTCTAATTCTATTGATTTGAGTCTTCTCCCTTTTTTCTTGATGAGTCTGGCTAATGGTTTATCAATTTTGTTTATCTTCTCAAAGAGCCAGCTTTTAGTTTTATTGATCTTTGCTATCATTTTCTTCATTTCTTTTTCATTTATTTCTGATCTGATCTTTATGATTTCTTTCCTTCTGATAACTTTGGGTTTTTTTTGTTCTTCTTTCTCTAATTGCTTTAGGTGCAAGGTTAGGTCATTTATTCGAGATGTTTCCTTTTTCTTAAGGTAGGATTGTATTGCTATAAACTTCGCTCTTAGAACTGCTTTTGCTGCATCCCATAGGTTTTGGGTCGTCGTGTCTCCGTTGTCACTTGTTTCTATGTGTTTTTTGATTTCCTCTTTGATTTCTTCAGTGATCACTTTGTTCTTAAGTAGTATATTGTTTAGCTTCCATGTGTTTGTATTTTTTACAGATCTTTTCCTGTAATTGATATCTAGTCTCATAGCGTTGTGGTCGGAAAAGATACTTGATACAATTTCAAATTTTTGAAATTTACCAGTGCTTGATTTGTGACCCAAGATATGATCTATCCTGGAGAATGTTCCATGAGCACTTGAGAAAAATGTGTATTCTGTTCTTTTTGAATGGAATGTCCTATAAATATCAATTAAGTCCATCTTGTTTAATGTATTGTTTAAAGCTTGTGTTTCCTTATTTATTTTCATTTTGGATGATCTGTCCATTGGTGAAAGTGGGGTGTTAAAGTCCCCTACTATGAATGTGTTACTGTCAATTTCCCCTTTTATGGCTGTTAGTATTTGCCTTATGTATTGAGATGGTCCTATGTTGGGTGCATAAATATTTACAATTGTTGTGTCTTCTTCTTGGGTCAATCCCTTGATCATTATGTAGTGTCCTTCTTTGTCTCTTCTAATAGTCTTTATTTTAAAATCTAATTTGTCTGATATGAGAATTGCTACTCCTGCTTTCTTTTGGTTTCCATTTGCAGGGAATAATTTTTTCCATCCCCTCACTTTCAGTCTGTATGTGTCTCTAGGTCTGAAGTGGGTCACTCGTAGACAGCATATATATGGGTCTTGTTTTTGTATCCATTCAGCCAATCTGTGTCTTTTGGTGCGAGCATTTAATCCATTTACATTTAAGGTAATTATCGATATGTATGTTCCTATTCCCATTTTCTTAATTGTTTTGGGTTTGTTATTGTAAGTTTTTTCCTTCTCCTGTGTTTCTTGCCTAGAGAAGGTCCTTTAGCATTTGTTGTAATGCTGGTTTGGTGGTACTGAACTCTCTCAGCTTTTGCTTGTCTGTAAAGGTTTTAATTTCTCCATCAAATCTGAATGAGATACTTGCTGGGTAGAGTAATCTTGGTTGTCGGTTTTTCTCCTTCATCACTTTAAATATGTCCTGCTAGTCCCTTCTGGCTTGCAGAGTTTCTGCTGAAAGATCAGCTGTTAACCTTATGGGGATTCCCTTGTGTGTTATTTGTTGTTTTTCCCTTGCTGCTTTTAATATGTTTTCTTTGTTTTTCAGTTTTGACAGTTTTATTAATATGTGTCTTGGCGTGTTTCTCCTTGGATTTACCCTGTATGGGACTCTCTGTGCTTCCTGGACTTGATTAACTATTTCCTTTCCCATATTAGGGAAGTTTCTACTATAATCTCTTCAAATATTTTCTCAGTCCCTTTCTTTTTCTCTTCTTCTTCTGGAACCCCTATAATTCAAATGTTGGTGGGTTTAATGTTGTCCCAGAGGTCTCTGAGACTGTCCTCAGTTCTTTTCATTCTTTTTTCTTTATTCTGCTCTGCAGTAGTTATTTCCACTATTTTATCTTCCAGGTCACTTATCCATTCTTCTGCCTCAGTTATTCTGCTATTGATCCCTTCTAGAGTATTTTTAATTTCATTTATTGTGTTGTTCATCGTTGCTTGTTTCATCTTTAGTTCTTCTAGATCCTTGTTAAATGTTTCTTGCATTTTCTCTCTTCTATTTCCAAGATTTTGGATCATCTTTAGTATCATTATTCTGAATTCTTTTTCAGGTAGACTGCCTATTTCCTCTTCATTTGTTAGGTCTGGTGGGTTTTTATCTTGCTCCTTCATCTGCTTTGTGTTTTTCTGTCTTCTCATTTTGCTTATCTTACTGTGTTTGTGGTCTAGGAGGATGATTTTTGTAGCAAGGTCGATTTTATAATGTACACCTGTGGTATTTCATTCATGGACCAGGGTCCGTGATGTGGTTGATAAACTGAAATGTAAAGTTGGTAGATAAACTCTGTCTTTAGTAACCTTCAAGTTATTATATCTGCATTTCTGAGTACAAGAAGGGAAAAATTAAGACTGATGCTTTATTTGAAAATGCAATGTTTTTCTTGTTAATGATAAACCATCGTAACTAATAGAAAGAAAAAGCTTACCCATAGTAGAAAGCTAGCAAAACAAACAACAAGAAAAAAAAAACTTGTTATGCAATGAAGAACTTGCCTTTTCTAGTTCTAACATTCAGTAGCTGAAAGCAGATCATTGCCATAAAGAGTATTTACCAATTTTAAAAGGTCTTGGCCCATCATAGCTAGTGTTAGATTTGGAATATAGCTTTTGTTGCCAAGGTGACAAACACTTATAAATATAACACATCTTCTAATGTGCTTTTAACTTGGTATTTTTATGGCTTTTAAATCAGATACCATTAGCAAATATATTAGGTAATTTAGCTGAAAGACCATTTTCCTCTAACACTTTTTGTTACATTTCCCCAGGTATTTCAGTAAATGTCTGTTGTGACATTCTACTCCTGCTAGGCTTCCAACATAAGGGGATACATAAAGTACATCTGGTAAAGATGAACATATATTACCTTGCCTTTTTTGTGTTGATCACTGAAAAATGTATAAAAGAGAGTTAGATTTGTAGTCTCCTTGAAGAGCATTCATTGTTCCTATTGTTATTTGGGGGTTTATACCCCTTACCCCAAGTAACAATCTGGCTTTAAGATTCAATACACAGAGGAAAGGGTTTTGGGGACAGCATAATAACTATATATTAACACTCCCCAAAACCTCCATATCTAAATGCTTTCTCTTAGATATCAAAAAAAGAAGGCTATGGGGAAAATAATTACAGTAGACCATCTGGAGCCCTATATATTCGCAAGTCTCAGTTTATTGTTCCAAACAGTAAATTCAACAGCCCAGGCAGGGAAGGAATCATCTCTAAATGTATTCACTGGATTTTTAAAAGACTTGTGAGGTGGACATATTTGTCACAGCAAAGGTAAAATCAGATAAGACATATTTAGTTTAAGCCCAAATTTGCATTTATTGTTACCTTGTCAGAAATTCTTCTTAGAAGATTGTCCATTAATTCATTCATTGTTTTTTCTTTCATTCATTCAACCAACAGACATTTAAGAAGCATCAGCTATTTTTCAAGCATTGGAGGTACAGAGATGAGCAAGTGCTGGCCCTCAAGAAGAATATAATATCAGGACAGAGGTAGGCAAATAAATGAAGTATTACAACTCTGATAAGTGCTAAGGTAGAGATTGCATGCAAAGAAGGGGTCAGAGATGAGTCCCCAAAAAGGAAGGATGCTGCAAATTGTCTTCAGAGAATCAAGTGGAAAAGAGAAATATATATTTTACTTAAACAGCAAAACTCTAGACAGGTAAAATGTTTTATATAGTAAATCCACAATTGCTGTTTCCTTATTGTGTGATCCTGAATGTTTCTCTGTGCCTCAGTTATTCCTCCTATCTAATGTAGATAATTATCCTTGCCACCCGCATAGCTCATAGAAGACTGTTGATAGGAATAATGGGATATGAGTGGTGTAGCTATTTGAATTCTTTGGAAAAGAAAGATTCTATGTAAACACACAGCATCCTTATTATTCCAAGCGGTAGCATTTTGGATAATTACTGTATAATGCTGCACCTTTGTGTGTGTGTGGTTTGTTTCTTTATAGAAAAGTAAGTGCTAATGTTAAGTTTCTCTAATAACTTTGGAAGCAATTTTAATCCAGCAGACAAAACATAATAACCTTTAAAGTAAGTTAAATCCCTTTGTATTTGAGTAGATTTTGTTATTTACCAAGGTCTTAGGCAATTTTACCACAGTTATGGAAAAAATTGCCCAGCAAGCCCAGTTCTCTCGGTGAGTATCTGAAAAACACTATTGCAGACAGGCCAGAAGCTTCTTTACAACAGACACGGCTCTGAGAGTGTGTGTGAGTGTTTGCGTGTGTGCGCGCACGCGGGGGTGTGCGCGCACGAGTATGTTGTGTGTGTGAGTGAGCCTGGGGCTTGCCAGAAAGATCTGGGAACGAGCTGAGACTGGCTAGCATACCTGAGGCAGCTGTTATACCATGGCGCCTGGATTCTTCTCTCAGACTCTAGGCTGGCTCCCCTCCTCCTTCTCCTCCAGGCCCTCTTCCTTTTCATAGTCTAACTCTCACTGTCTTTCTTCCTCTTCCCTCTGATTCAGTGGGAGATCCCCATGGCCTGAGACTATGTCCTAGTCCTGCTGCCAGACATTCCAGGACTGTCTGGCTAATGGACGAAACCATACTGGTCAGAAAAATGACCCACAGCACTCTTAACCTGTTTCATCTTTTCTTTCACTCATTCATTCTCCCTCTGTTTCTCTTTCTCTCTCTCTCTCTCTCTCTCTCTCTCTCTCTCTCTCTCTCTCTCCCTCCCTCCCTCCCACCCTCTCTAGTTCTCACCTTGAGTTCGGTGCTGAAGATTAGCCATGAATTACTTGGCAACCATGGAAAGTGACAGTTTAAGGCAGATCTGCTCTTGGGTACTGTAACTTGCTTCAGGATATCTCAACAAGACCTGTCTATGAACTCAAGCTGGGATTTGCCAAGGTACTTCAGCCATCCATTAACAGGAGAGGCAGCCTCTACTGAGGAACCTGCATTAATCCCTCCTCTCCGCCTAGAGGTGCTGCTGCTCAGAAAGCTTCCTCCAGGAGCAGTGAGGTGACACAATAAATAGCTAAATAGCCGCAAGGGTTAAAAACCTATACAAGAAACTGTACTTTTCAGTTTAATCTGGCCTCTCATGGTTTGAGGTCATTTACCATTGGCCACCACTGGAATTGGGCAGAACTAGTATAGCCAACCAGGGTGAATTTTCCTAGGGAAAAATGCCAATACTAAACTAGCATGGGAAAGGCAAAGAACCCTAGGGCCATTGACAAGGGTAAAAAGTATGTATCACCACTGGAAAGGCCAATGATATTAATCCTAAAAGATGGTCTCTGGTTACATTTCATGGACTTGGGACACACTGACAGAAAAGAGCAATTACTTATAGTCATACTTTTAAAAACTTTGACAAAGATCCCAATCATGGTGGATTAGGTATATTTAATATCTCAATTAATCAGCCTTCTACAATAGTAATATGTCAACTTTGGTTCAGGAAATCCACTCCAGTTGATAGTCATCCAGGAAGCATCTTTCATGCCCACATATTAAATTTAATCTGCCACCCCTGTTTTATAAGACTCTGTATTCATCTGCTGAAGAAAAGATGCTTATTTTTATCATTCCAACTTAACAGCTTGCTTAGCAAAGCTGATAGGAGTTTAGAAGATATTCATTGAATGCCTATTTTGTATATTTACAAAAGAGGTAGATTTAAGGGAGTTACCCAAAAGCAATATGTTTTTTGTCCCACCATTATCCTATTGGTCTTCCTTTCATTCAGCAGATTTATCTGTCATGAAGAATTTAAGTTTCATATTTTCCTCTGTCAGTTGTGAAAAGGCCTGTCAGCTGGGGCTTACACTATAGTTTGTAAAAGGCCTATAGCACACAATGACAATACAATCTTATATTTGTGCTCCCAGTCTCCAGATAATCCCCCACTTTCCTCCTCTGCAGCCCAGTTATGATCAGGCTTAAGTTGCATATTCTGTTTTTAGCCAGATTTTTGCTGATAAATGCTATCAGCAAGACTGAAATGAAATACAGAAGGTTTAGCTCTTATTACCAGTGTAGAACATGCCTTGGGAGTTGTGAGTGTGATACTGAGACAGTAGTTGTATAAAACCATTTAATTCACAGAAACTAAATAAAGGAATGTTAATGGCATTGGCTTTTATCTGTTGAATGTTTCAAGGTCTTTATTCATGCACCTGAAAATACAGACTTTTGATTAACATTCCAGGAGATGTGCCAGAGATAGCGGGCCATTTCCCTTATGGTTTCCGGTAGGGATATAGTTCTGAGAGAAAACTATGCAAAGTCTTAACATTATTGGTTGATACCTTCAAACACAAGATACTTTGTTTTTGCCATTTTTATTCTGAGTTCACCAATACCCCCAGTCTCAGAAAGATTTACATTTCCCACATCTATGCAGAAGCTAATAGTCTCATTAAATGGAAACCATGTAAATAGTTGGAGGCCTACAAATCATTCTTTTTATAACCTGCTGGAGCTGCAGCAGAATGTGAAGGACTCGTATATTAGAAAAATGCATCATTGGCTTAACCAAGGAGAGGGAAGTGTTAACCATCATTCCTAGAACTCTGGAGTGGAACAGAAGCTTGCAGCCCGACACCAAAATAACATCGCAATGAGAAGTGAAATTGCTTCTAAAGCTAAATTGCTTCATTTGAAAATTGTAGTGATGCTGAGAACAATTATGTCACTTAAACTTTCACAATTTTGTTTTTATAAATCAGTTGTAAAACTATCATGTGGTTTAAATGCGATTATTTAATAAGGGCATTTGTAATTGTCCAGCATAATCAATTATGCTTCAGTCAGGTTCTTCTCTGCAACTGTGTTTGTGCTAGCGGCTGAGTCATTCTTATGGTAATACATACTTTTTGAAAAAGCCAAATAAAATCATTGTTTTCCAGAAAAGTTCTTTCCCCCTCTGATTGCAAAGCATTTCACCAACTGCAAACTGAGTCTCGGAATTCATTTTCTTTCCCCTTTGTCTTAGAAAGTAAACATCTATTCAAAGCATGAGAAGGAAAAACATACTGCTAGATAATAGGTGAAGTGAAAGTTGGTTCTTTAAGAGTCATGATAGTCTTGTCAAGTATGTTTACTGAGCTGAGACCGGGGCCAGAGCCCAGGGAGCATGGAGTGGCGTGTGAGAATTACCCAGCAGGAGCCATTATGATGTTGGTACCACAAGTCACAGATCATGACTCTGATTTTCTAAGAAGAAGGAGAGATTAATCATGGGCTGAGTCTAGGCGCACTCAGGCCTCCCAGAGGCTAGAGGATTTTAGTTGCTGTGTTGTGCAATTTGTGGGCTATTTGGTCCATTTTGGACTGCCTAGAGAGCTATGTTTTCCTTCCACATTTCAACTGAAGTCTCTGCTAATGCCTTACCCCTGGGTTTTGCCTGGTTCATTCTGATTTCTGTACCCACTGGCTTGACCAAAAGGTTTCTTAGGAAGCCAGACTCTCAGCCTCTCTTTCCTCTCCCCATCCTTTTCTCTTCGTTAGACAGATTCTCCCCTACCTTGACTCCTCTTTTACATTTCCTGATTCTCTAAAGGTTCTCACCACTTCATGAAAATATCAACCCATTTCCTCGCTCTGCTATGCATCCTGCCCTAAGAGCAGATCCTCCTACGTAAGAGCATTTCCTCATTTCAGTCACTCTTCAGGAGAATGACTGAGTCCTGCCAGTGATATAAGGTGTTTAGCTTCAATCACATGAATCCAGCAGAAACTGAAGCAGGAATCCAAACGAAGCCTCCACCATACTGGAGCCAGTGAATTTGCTGTTTCAGAATCCAAATTCAATACTATCACTTACTAGCTTAAAACGAGTCCATGGCATTCCTTTATCTTAGCTAAAAGCCAAAAGGGTCTGTGTGCTCTGGCCCAAATAGCTCTCGAGTTTTTCTCACACCTTCTTTCCCTTCACTCTTTGTCCCAGTCACATAGGCCTTCTCTCTAAAATGGCCAGTTTCTCTTCCAGCCCAAGGCCTGTACATCTGCTGTTCCCCTCTGCTTGTGATTCTGCTTACCCGCACCTGGCCCAAACTGCATATCCCTTACCAGGCTAGTTCTCTCTCATTTCTCTTTCCCTTTTAGGCCAAGCATCACTACTTCAGGAAAACCAACACAGATGCCCTCAACCAAGAACACATTCTCCTGTTGTATGGTTACAGGATAACAGACTTTTCCTTCAAGTTATTTATTACACTTGTAATGTTCTATTTATTTGCACTATTACTCGATAATTATCCCATTCCAGTGGCCCCTCCTCAAGAACAGGGACTTAGTTTCTGCTTCACCTGGTGTCTCTGCACTCAGCAGGAGCTCAGTTTATTTCTGTTGAATGAATATACTCTTTGGGGTTCATAGAAATTTTATATCAGAAAATAAGGAAAGCAAATTTCTTAAACCTGGCTCAAGCAGGAGGGTTTTGAAACCATCCTCATATCTATTCATGGAGAAATGTACAATAACAAATTGAAAATAGCCTAAGCATCAATGGAAGAGCAGA